TCCCAACATGTAGCTCCAACCTCTATTTCTGTTACATCTGAACTCACGAATCCTTAATTGCATCCCATTGCCAAATGAGGTAGGAGCACTGGTGGCACAATGGTTAAGCACTCAGCTGCTAACTTAAAGCTCAGAGGTTCAAACCCACACAGTGGCTACATGGCAAAGGCTGGGGGACCTGCTCCTATAAGGATTACAGCCTAGAAAACTCTGTGAGGCAGTTCTGCTTTGTCACATGGGGTTGCTGGGAGCAGGAATTGACTCAACAGCACCCAACAACTTACTGAGGTAAAGTAAACATTTCTTGTTCTGGCATCAAGTCCTTAGCAGTAGGGACTCAATCTACTCTTCCAATCCCTTTTTTTCCTCTTATCTTAAATGTAACTTCTTCAACCAAAGAGGCTATTCATATTCCCTCTTGCTTAAATATGCCCCAGGATTTACTGAGTTTGACATTTTACTCACTTTATCTTAAATACCCATCTCTTCACCACCATCCATTCTTGACTGTTAAAATTGTAGACTCTTTTAAGAGTGGCAACAAACACCATGTCTGATATTCACATTTTATTGTGATACCTCACTTCTCTTAAACTCCATAGCCCTTTCCTTTCTCTATTTGTTACATTTCTAACTATTCTCTACCCAGGGTGTGAAATATTATTGGACATCACCATTAGAAGAATAATTCTAATACTAAAGGGAAATAAAGAGATTACTATAGAGTTAGCGGGTTTGGTGACTACTTGAAGCTTGTGATGGGGATAAATTTTGTTTCCAGCTCTACTGCAAACTTTTTTTTGTGGTAGTATGCTTATGGCTTGAATAAAACCAACTATTATAAAGCCAAAATGATAAGCGATGAAGTTTTAGAGAGAGTTGCTTTCACTCTTGTTGATAAATTTTCTGTCTTTGCAGGTTAAAGCAGTAAAGTTGGGCCATGTTCTAGTAATAGATGAGGCAGACAAGGCTCCAACAAATGTCACCTGTATTTTAAAAACTCTAGTAGAAAATGGAGAAATGATTCTAGCAGATGGAAGACGAATTGTTGCAAGTGAGTATAAAATACACATCTTTTTCCTTTAACACATGAAAATTTTACATCTCTGGTAACAATTTACAGACTTTAGCTGCTTACTTGTATATAAGCAATAGGCTAAAGTTCAATGTAATTCACATAGTCTGTATTGACAGTCATTTATAAAATGAATCTAGCTTTGTCTGTTTTGTTTTTTATAGCCAGAGAACATCTCTTAAAATTTTAATAATATTAGTAGGACAAATCAGCTTCAAATTTTTCTACACAGAGAATACCAACACACAGGCCTTACTGTGTTATCTTTCAATTATTTGTATAATTTAATTTTTGTCTTGCTGTCTGGAAATTTTTAAAAAGCTCTGGCATGTTTCTATTAATATCTACTCATATTATCAAATCTAAGTAAACTAAGTTTTAATATTATGACATTTTATTATATATTATATATATGTGTGTATATTTGTATGTATATATGTATATGTGTGTGTATGTACCTACACATACATAAAAACATTACACGTACATACCACTGAGGAAGACAGGAATAAATTACACTTGAATCATCCTCTGTTTTGGATTATCTTCTTTCTTTTTCATTAGAGAAAATACAGACAGACGAATGTCATCATTCTATTTAACCTACAAGGAAAAATTACATTTGTCAAATGCAGTGTGAGAACATTTTCTAGTTGTTAATTTCAAATTTTTGTTTCCTGAAAAGTCTTGAAAACCTATAACTAGCTTTGAAAAAATATAGCCCATAGTGGGGCAGCCAAGCAAGATGAAACTAACTGAAACCTTCAATATTAAAAGACAGCAGGTAGAGAGGACCCATTAAAAACGTACTAGTGCATTAACCTAGAAATGTTCCTCTTGGATGCTGTTATTGCTAGATTGCCATTTTTGCGCCTAGGAAAAATACAAGTATTCTAATATTTCAGTTTCACAATGAATTTATTGGAAAATGAGAATGTGAGCTAGATAGCTCTGAAAGCTGTCTCTTAAAAGTTCGCTCAGACCTGCCAGATTAGAATTCTGTTAGCCCTTTTTAGAGGTATCATGAGGACTCTGAAACAGGAAGGAAGAAAGAGTTGCTGAAACAAAATTGTAGTTAGGAGTGATTATCTCTTGGTAGCCCTCTTCATTCTCTGAGACATTTCAGAGGGAATGTCTAAAAATAAAGGAGTGGTCATATGTTTCAAAGTCAAGTGTAATTGTAATGTTGTTGTTGTTATGTGCCGTCGAGTCAAACCTGACTCATAGCGACCCCTCCTTGGGTTTCCGAAGCAGTATCACTAAGGAAGTAGGATTGCCCAACCTTCCTTCCGAGGAGTGGCTGGTGGGTTTGAACCACCAGCCGTCTGGTTAGCAGGCAAGTGTCTTAGCCACTATGCTACCAGAGCTCCCCCGTAATTGTAATAGCATTTTAAATATGTGTCACTTTTTTTCCCCTCTGATGTTCTTTTGAACATGTTTTCATAAACCATTACTTTTAGAGCTGCTTTTTAATTCTTTGCTTTTCTACATTTTATTTTTGTATTGTTATTTTGATTTTAATTAGATTTTGCCTGTGGCCACCTACCCATCTTACTTGCCACTACTAAAATTAATGAGGATCAAACATTAAAACTATTGGTTGTAGTAGAACATAAATATGTAGCAGGTTAAAAGACCATTTTTTGGTGCCATAAAAATTACAAGTGTAATTTCTTGCAGACTTACCTCAAATAAAAAGGCAGGTGTTTCACAACTGTCATTTTAAAAGATGCAGAGCCTGAGGCTGGGATTTAAATAAACCTAGATGGCAAGTGTCTCTTCTCAAAATAACCATGAAATAACACTTTTGGTATCTTGAATTATTGTTTGGATTAGCAATTGTACTTGAAATGCACACCAGTCAGTAGAAGGTAATATCCATCCCTTAATTCCTTAAGCAATTGGACAGAGAAGGCTCCAGTCAACTTGAGATCACTTATATTAAGAACTCAAGTTAAAGGAGAAATCCTTGACTAGAAGTAAATTAACGTTGCCCAAATGAGCTAACTAGGTTTTCAAGAGCTTAATTTTACATGGTTAGGTTTCAGGGAGCACAATCTAACCAGAAGTCTCTTCCTAACTACGCAATGGCAGGCTGTGTACAAAGTGATGCAGCTGAGTTGATAAAACCTTGGGTATTCCTTGGATTATCCCTTGTTATGGATTCTTAATTGTTACTATTATTTGGATGGGGAAATGACAACATCTCAAGCCAGGTTTAAGCATTGTATGACAAAATTTTGACATTTGCTTTTTAGAAGTACATTGGATTTATATGAAAATGCAAGTTGCTGCACAATTTGGTATATGCTTTATCAGTCTATTACTTTTTTAAGCAAATAATTGAGCAGTATGACTACATATACTATTTTAAAGACTGTAGCTTGATATTCTTAAAAATTATTAAATGTCAATAGAGAATACATAGTAAGAATTCTTGTTTTTCAGATTCTGCTAACGTGAATGGAAGAGAAAATGTTGTAGTGATTCATCCTGATTTTAGGATGATCGTTCTGGCCAACAGACCTGGATTTCCTTTCCTAGGCAATGATTTCTTCAGTACTTTAGGTAAAAACATTAATGTTAATAATAGCAACAACAGTAGCAGTAACAATAATAGTGTTCTCTTGGTCACAATGCTGTAATAGCTGTCATTGAATGCTGACCATGTGCTACTCCATGTAACCATCAGAACCACTCTGTGAGAGTATTTGTTATTCGCTTTCCAAAAATCCAAACTCACTGCCATCCAGTTGATCTAACTCATAATGGCTCCCATTGGGTTTCCAAGGCTTCAAATCTTCATGGAAGCATGCTGCCTCATCTTTCTCCCATGGAATACCTGGTAGGTTGGAATCACCTACCTTTTGGTTAGCAGCCAAATGCCTTAACCACCAGAGCTCCTTATCTACACTTTAGAGAAGGAGAATATCTGATATTCAGAAAGATTGATTATTTTTCTAGGATCACTTAGCTCATTAGTGTTAGAGATGAGATTCATTTCTCTGTCTATCTGATTTCAGAGCCAGTTTTGTTAAACTGTAATAGTTTTCTATTACCTTGTTCTTCAGGGCTCTTAGAATAAACTCACTGCCATCAAGTTGATTCCAACTTATAGTAGCTCTATAAGACAGAGTAGAACTGTGCCGTAAGATTTCCAAGGCTGCAAACTACGGAAGCAGACTGCCACATCTTTCTCCCATGGAGCAGCTAGTGGGTTTGAACTGTTGACCTTTGGGTTAGCAACCAAGAGCTTAACCTCTGTGCCATCCCTAAAACACAATATAAGGAATTTTTTTAGTGTTTGGTTTTTGTCACATCCGTTACCTATAAAAAGGTTTAAGGTCAGGTTTGAGGAGATTTGATTCACATTGATTGGAGAGGCCTTGAGTTAAACTTAATCGTCAGGAACACTTAAGAAAGATTTCTCTTCTCTGTAGCATGTAGTAAGAAATTCTGGACTCTCATACTCACCCTGAAGCAGGCCCACTCTCCCAGTCTGACCCAGAAACCCAGATCTATGTAACAAATACATAGTGAACACCCTTTTATACTAACCCAAGTGA